TCGATTTTTTTTTAAATCCAATTTTTGAGCTAGAACGCTCTTCTTCGAACTTGATCTGTCTTTTTATGATGCAAAATGACCCTGCAAATCCCAGGTCGCTAGCTCAATTCGTTCTCGAGTTATCGTGCGTACAGACAAACAGATGCGAAGCTTTTTGATCATCAGTGGAGTAATAGGCTTCGGTAATCACTCAGCCAACCACAGGTCGCACTACACCCTCTTTTGGGCTTAAGGGTCCCTAGATTACCTAGTATCTCTAAAACGTTGATTTTTACATAACAGTCTGTCAAAATTCAAACTTTTAATGAAAACCGTTACCGAACACAGAAAAAAAAATTCGCTGACGCTGACCCAACTAATATATTGACTGGTATCTGGACAGACAAGCACATAAACTTCTGTAACCACTATATTTGTCTACTCTTATCAATCATTGGCTGTGCCAGTTAAAAATTAGCTGTAAGAGCTCATCCCTTACCTAAATCAGTCGAGGTCTACCTTACTGATGGAGGCAAATCATTACTTCATACAACTCATCTTTGACTGGCACAGCCAATGATTGATAAGAGTAGACAATATAGTGGTAACAGAAGTTTATGTGCTTGTCTTTCCAGATACCAGTCAATATATTAGCTGGCTCAGCGAATTTTTTTTTTCTTCCGTGAACAGCAGAAGTTTCATGTCCCTAACTTAAGAGTAAAAAGGCCCCGACAAATGGTTCGAGTATGTCAAATTTAGGCCCCGGAAGGCCCTGTTCCCCAATACCCTCTCCTTAACTCGTCTCGGGTGTCAGCGCCGCAGGTCTAGCTATGTGTGCGCCAGGCGCGTCGCAGCGTAACAGAGTTTCATGAGATATCGCGAAGCCTGTTACGCGAGACGTGGTCTGGCGTACACATAGCTAGTTACTTTCTTACCATCAACTGTGAACCTGCAAGAAAAGCAGTACCATGTCCAGTGTTTCAGAAATTGTGTACTGGCTAGGATTTGAACCTAGAACTCTTCATGGAGAAGTGTGATACATTTCACCATATCAGTGTTCCAGAATTAGTATTCAAAGCTACATCTCACTCTAAAGTCCACTCACAACACCACAAAATAAACACATGAAAAGCAATACATCTCACCACTACAACTTACTACACCTGATTAGTTCACCCATACATACTCCAGTCACAAAAGGTCTCTTTAGGTCATATCTCTAAAGTTAGCTTTTTCCCATGGCAACATAGAACATTCTTTGAGAGGAGATCTGCAAATACAATGTTTTGATGAGCACACCTCCCTAAAAAGAGTATTAATGACAATAATCACCTGAAACTTGCGGTAGGATGCATTATCCATGAAGAACACAGATTGTTCCTGGACATTTTGGATCACTTTCTTACGATAGTAGGTAGAGAAAATGGAGCTGTTCATGTCTCCACGATAATCACTGCCAGGCTTTGGCTTCAGCTTGGAGTGATAAACCAAGAGGGCACCTGGAACGAATCTATGTTCCCCACCACAATGCACCACAATGTACCTGGTTCCTCCAACCTTTTTTTTGACCTCTGGCACCGCCAGTAACCATTCGCCCACTGGTATGGGACGCCAGATCCATGCTGGAAAATCCACGTCTTATCCAGGTATTTTCGCGAAAATTTCTCATCATTGTAAAACTGGTGGAAGAATTTGAGAAATTTAAAGCGCAGCCCTGCAACCCTGGGCATTTCCTTCAAAAAAGCTGTAGCATTCCGTCTGTCATAATAAAATCCCTGGTCGTGCAACACCTTTCTGAGGGATTCACGCCCTCAAATTCAATACCCATCTCCGTAAACAAAACAATGAAAACAGAATGATAACACTAACTATTTGAAACCCATTTGTAAATTTACTAGGTAGATGTACGCCAGAGCACGTCTCGCGTAACAGGCTTCGCGGTATCTCACGAAACACTGTTGCGCTGCGACGCGCCTGGCATACATCTACCTAGGCCTGCGGCGCTGACACCCGAGTCGGGTAGCGCAAAAATGTAAACAAAGGGCCTCCGGCCCGCCAACTTTCCGTCTCTTCTACTAAGCATGCAGGGGTGTACATTTTTTCGCTCAGTTTCGTCAAAAACTCCCTGTGACGCCTACATGGTTGAAGATAGAGCCAAACGCTCCCCAGGGTTTTATTTTGACAAGTTGACCCTTCAGAGACCGTGAAATATTTGAGAAAAAACATTGAAATGGTTTGGGGTCATACGACTTGATAGACCATTTATAGTCGTTTTCACCTTATTTTTGCCAAGAAATGCCTCCCAGCACCCAAACTTTACGAGATATAGCAAAACGTACGAAATTTTCGCCCAAAGGGTTCTACTTTCACGAGTTACCCCTTAGGAACCCATAACATAATATTCGGTAAAAAATACATTTTGCCTCCTGTGGATTTTTGATTTTTTTGAAAGTCAATTTTTGAGCTAGAATGCTCATCTTCGATCTCGATGTGTCTTTTTAGCCCGCTCTTTTGCTTAAAAGCTATATAAGCGGGCTTATGCCATCGCC